ATTTAAAGTGGTTTTTTTATATAAAGTTTGAAATAGGGGTATTTTTAAAAAGTGGTATGGAAAAAGGGTATTTTTGATAATTAAAAAGTAAAAAATTGATATTTATATAAAATATATTTAGACACAAATTATGTTTCTATGTGTGTAAATTTAAATACCATATAAATACCTTTTAAAAACGTTTTAAAATTATTTAAAAAACATATAAAAACTTTTTAAACCTTATAAAAACCTTATAAAAGTCTTATAAATGCCGTTTAGAACCTTTTTAAAACTTTATAAATATTTGTATTGAGTCTCCAAATAGTAATGACGATCTAGATGTACCTTATAAACTATATAAAAGTTTACAATTTTTCATATTTGAAAAGGGATATTTTTAAAATAGATAGAAAATTGGTGTATTTTTAAAAAGGGGTACACCAAAAGGGGTATTTCTTAAAAAATCTCTTTCAACTATTAACCTAATTTTTGGTTTTGCGAGTTGTAGGTTTTACAATTATAAGGGTTATATGTTGAGTTTATAAATCTGCATTATAGTTTAGAATTTATAATTAAACGAGATTATTTATCGGATTGGGTTTATTAAAGAGGAGTGAGATTTAGGTTTTACAATTAAACAAGGTTATTTATCTGTTTGGGTTCATAAAGGAGAATTAGGATTTACAGTTTACAAATAAATTAGATTTTGAGTTTAACTAAACACATAATTTTATTCATGATTTTTATTTTATAATATGTTATATTTGTTTAATTTTTAATTTATGTATGAATGTATTATGCCATTGAGCAATTTCATTGTCTAAAACATAAGAGTGAATAAAAAAATTTCAGAAATAATATTTTTAGCTTAAATTAAAGATAACAAAGTTCAATATAAATCGTAATATAGTAATTTTAAAATAATTTTAAAGAAAATATGTAGTTTTTTATAATTCGTATTTGAAAGATTTTTGGGGGAATTTCAAAAATACCCTTTTTCCAATACCACTTTTTAAAAATACCCCTCTTTTTCATTTTATCAAAAAGTCACTATAAAATTTGAAATTTATCAAAAACATATGTGTAAGCTTATATTTATAGACACAAACTATCTTTATATGTGTGTAAATTTATATATATATTTCATAAATACCGTATAAATACCTTTTAAAAACCTTTTAAAAATCATTTAAAAACCTTATAAAAACTTTGCAAACCTTTTAAAAACCTTATAAAAACCTTATAAATGCCGTTTAGAACCTTTTAAAACTTTATAAATATTTGGATTTAGTCTCCTAGTAGTAATGGTGATCTTGATGCACCTTATCAACCATATAAAAGTTTATATTTTTTCATATTTGAAAAAGGGTATTTTTGAAAATTGATAGAAAAGAGGGATATTTTTAAAAAGGGGTACACCAAAAAGGGTATTTCTCAAAAATTCTCAAGATTTTTTAATGTTTTCCTCAAAGATGCTATAATTTATTTTAGAATCTTTATGTTTATTTGCGTTGTTTATATGAATTTATTTACAAATGACTATATTTGTATTTAACATCATATTTTAGATTGATGTTAATTTGAAAGAACTTTACCATCATATTAAATAATAACTAATTAATTTTTATAATTAACGTTTAATAAGAATTTTAAGAGATATATATATACGTTTATTTGATACTTCAAACCAAATAAATCTCTTACCAAATGAAATTAATATCTCTTATGTTTTAAAAAAAAAAAATTTGGAAAATATTTTTTTATAAGTTATAATATATTTTAATTTTAATTTAATTTTAAATATAGATAACCCGTCCATCGGACGGGTACTAAACTAGTATATATATAAACAATAGTTACAACGCTAACTAATAAACCAAATGAAAATTTGATAACTTACCTTGTAGCTGAGACACTATATTTATTGCTAAAAATATAGGACAAACCGTCATAATAATTTCTAGAAATTTAAAATTATCTTTAGAAATTTAAAAATAAATTTAGAGATATTTCCATATTTCATATATTTCTTTTATTTCCATATATCTTATTATTTTCCTTTTTTACAAAAAAAAAATAGGATAAAAAATTATCATAATAATTAAAAAACTTTAAATATTGAGTTGTCTAATCTCGATTGGTCGTTTAAAATCCAATGTGGACGCCTTAAGGAGCTTATAGCTCCAACTTTTATATAGTATAGACTAGATATTTAATCCGCACTACGCGCGGATTTTTATTTGTTGATTATTTTAATATATTTTTGGGCATAATAATACATGTAATAGTGCAAAAATACTATACATTTTTCTCATTTAACCGCTTTAACATAAATCAAAGTTATTTTTCTCATTTAACCATTTCATGTTGTTTAGATTTTTTTTAAAATAAATACATCAAACAAATTATATCCTGTTATAAAATGTTTGACGAATATGGTGTCTCAGTTTCTCTTACTTGTTTTATAGTACAAAAGATGTTGCCTCAATATTAGCATATTAGTAAAGAAACTATTAATATATTTTGACAAAACATAAGAATGATTCATCATATACAGAATGCCTATTATCTTTATTTACCAAATAACAAAATCGATTGTTCAAATTAAACATTTAAAAACCCAAAGAGATATGTAAAAGAAAAAATTCTACTTTACGAATCAGTACTCACTACTCAGTTGCGTCGAATTCGACACAAAAATACGGAGCTCCACAGAAACCAGCTTGAGCCGTTTCACGTTATCTCTAAGTTTCTTCAAATTAATGTATTAATTTAGCCATCACTAATCCATCTCTATTAGTAAGAGACGACATATATCCAACATCTCTCGGGCTTGGTTATAAATTGTAATAAGCTATTAGCTTCATGATTATTGTTTTTCCGAACAAACCATTGATCTGTTTGTGCTCTCGGTTTAACTTCTTGTCCTAACAACACTTTCTCCACATTGTTTATCTAATATAAAATATTTATAAGAACTTAAGAGGCATTCATGATTTAAGATTTACCTTTTTTAAGATTTTCAGTAATACACAAAAGAATAAAATCCATATTTTTAAAAGACATGACTCTTTATTATTACAACTAATATTCGTAAATTTATCTTTATTTAGCATAACATTTATATTCAATATTATATACAAAGATTATAAGTTTCATATATTCCATATATTTTTTTCCTAAAATTTCTATTTCTGTTTTTTTTTTCTATATATTTTAACCTGTTAATTAATAGTTTTTATAGAAAATAATAAAATTTAAAAATGTTAGTTAATGAAATATATAATATGTTAACTAATGAGTTGGCTAACCGCGATTAGTCGTTTAAAATCATGTGTGGATGCCTTTAGGAGCTTATAGCATCAACTTTTATATATATATAGTATAAATTTTTGGTTTTTATAACATTAAATTTTTTCATTATGCGGTATGTTCTGTGAGTTTTTATTATTTCAGTATTAATCAATATAATTTCTTTCTCAACCGAATTATCTAATTCCTCATCAGAAGAACTCTCAAGAATCGTGAGTCCTCTTTATCTATTACTTAGTGCTTCTTATATGCCTATTCATTAATTACTTCCGATTTGAAATCTTTTTAAATAAAACCTGCACCTTCTTTTTTCTTCTTTTTTTACGTCATAAATTACAGTTTATAAGATTTTACATTGTAATTTTTGTATGTTTTATAACACATTTTACATTGTAAATATTATGTGTCATAATATTTAGGTATTTTGAAGAAAAACAGATTAGGTGTGGGCATGTGTGAAAGGTAATATTTGGAGAAAGTCATTTGTTTGATTATATTATTACCAATGCCAACTATTAAAAAATATTTTATGTAGTCACAAATAATATTTTGTAAGACTTTTTTGTATTAAAATAAATGATGTTTAAAAATTAAATAAAAGAACTTGATTTGTATTGCTAGGAGGGAAAAACAAAAAATGTTCTAATATTTTTGCATACTACATGTTAATATATATCTATTTAAATCATTATAAAGTTTAAAACAATTTTAAAACAATCAATAAAAATATACCCGCGCGTACATAGCGCGGGTTAATAATCTAGTTTATGTAAAGTTTAACTCATCTAGTTGCACATTAACCTATAGTTTTCCCAATTCTTTTGCAAATGAAAGTGAATATTAATGGGAAGATATTTAAAATTTTTAATTATAATTCAACATAATAAAGCAGAAATTAAGGAAAATATAATTTACTTTCTTTTCATATGACTTGGTACATAAGTAACTAGCCCAAGCTTAGTTCAAGCCAAGAATAGATTTTGTATGAATATATTCAATTACTAAAACTTAAAATCCACCGCCAAATCCCCCACCAGCACCACCACCACCGCCAAATCCCCCACCAGCACCTCCGCCTGCTCCTCCACCAAATCCTCCACCGTGACCTCCGCCTGCACCACCACCGAATCCTCCGCCAGCTCCTCCACCAGCACCTCCTCCTGCACCACCTCCAAATCCTCCACCTGCTCCTCCTCCTGCACCACCTCCAAATCCTCCACCTGCACCTCCACCAGCTCCTCCACCAAATCCTCCTCCGGCACCTCCACCAGCACCTCCACCTGCACCACCTCCAAGACCACCGCCCCCACCAGCACCACCTCCAAATCCTCCACCGGCACCTCCTCCAGCACCTCCTCCTAAACCACCACCGGAACCCCCTCCGGTACCACCACCAATACCTCCACCATGTCCTCCACCAGCACCTCCTCCTAAACCACCACCAGCACCCCCTCCGGCACCACCACCAATACCTCCACCATGTCCTCCTCCTAGTCCTCCACCAGCACCCCCTCCTGCACCACCGCCAATACCTCCACCATGGCCTCCTCCTAGTCCTCCACCAGCACCCCCTCCGACACCACCACCAATACCTCCACCATGTCCTCCTCCGAATCCTCCACCAGCGCCTCCTCCTGCACCACCTCCTAGACCACCACCGGCACCACCACCAATACCTCCACCATTACCTCCACCAATGCCACCTCCTAAACCACCACCATGGCCTCCTCCTATACCACCACCAAAACCTCCGCCAGCACCTCCACCGCCACCAATCCCTCCACCAAAACCTTTCCCACCACCAAACCCACCGCCAAGTCCACCACCTCCTAACGTCTCCTTTTCAAATCTCCTACACTCCACAACCCCAATCACCACCACTACAAGCATCAACCCCAAAAACCCAAACGATACTTTCCCCATATCTTTATAATAAGCCTTGTAGTATCGTTTAGTATACAATTGTTTTAGCTCACTTGACCAAACCACTAACACTATATATAGTAAGTAGATAGCATTTATGAGATATGGTTGAGAGACTTCAAGTTCTTCATACCGCGTTTCTCCGCAGCATGTTCTCATGTCCCAATCTCTCATGTTCGAATTTTCAAAGTAGCAATTAATAAGTGACCTCTTTTTATATTAATCTCCTATTCCTATCATAATATGTCATACTTTATTTAATTCCATGTTCACTTAGTTTACGTATACTCATGAATAATATTTGTACGTATACTCTGATGTTTCTTTCTAACCAACTGAATTGATGAAACAAGGACTTTTATAAATTAAGAACGTGCAGAGAAAATTCAAAACAAATACATGCAACTATGAGGAGACACAGTGGGGAAAGCTGAGGATTGTAACTAAATTTAAGAATATCCTACATTTTTGTACATTTAGAGCTTCCCAACTACTTTGGATTTGGTAGCCACATTGAATGCGAAATCCCCACTATCATTTTCATTATTCTTGCTACAAAGTCGCCACTACGACTCCTGAGTAGAGCCTTATTATGTTATGCCCTTAGTTTGACTTATGTATAGATATAGTAATGGAACTAAATGCTAATGGTAAATGTGGGTGCAGTCAACCACTAAATTATGATTATCAAAAGAAAAGTAAAGATTAAAGGGGACTTTGGGCTAGGCTCTCTGGAATAGATGTAAAGAATATCAAACTCGAATACAAAATGGACTGAAATTGCTATGTATTGATTGAATATGTTTAGTTACAAGAATGTTGAATGTCTTTTACAAACCCTATTACTCATTATTTATACTATTTACTCGACATTCATCTTTCCATTAGCTCAACTTCCTCCACTCCATCTCCATGATCTCCTTGATTCTCACTTTCTGCTCCGAATAATCAGCCGGGAATCCAAATTCCCAGCTCGAGGCCCATTACGGCTGAAGACGCATTCTCCCTAATGGGCCTAATATATTCGGGCTTCGAGCGATGGAACCCAGTACCAATAATAACCTACATTTCATTAATTTATTATAATACTCCCTCTGTTTCACAAAGAGTGTCATTTTAGAATTTTATTTTTGTTTTACAAAGAGTGTTACTCTATGTTTTTAATGTAACTTTTACACTAAATTTCCAAATTTTACCCTTAACCCATAGCTAATTAAACCATTATTGTTGGTACTGGGTTTCGTCACCTAAGCGCAAACGATTGAAGCCCATAAAGAGAAGCAATAGTGGGCCTTTCGGCCTTCTGGTCATAGATTCGAGAGGGATATTCTATCAGCTGCGAGATACGGGGCAGAGAAGAGGAGATCGCGAAAGAGAGTTAGGAGATCGCTGGAATCGTGGGAGCGGCTGAACAAGATCGATTCCCTAGTATAAATAGATAGTTTCATTAATGTAAAAATACACGAGATAAGCCAATTACTATCAATTCCATTCTGTACTTCAGTTCGATATTCAAAAGATCCAATCGAAGAGTTTAGCCCCAAAGTTTCCTTTTAATCTTCCTTTCAATATGCTTAAATTCAATTAGTGGTTTTTAGCAGAATAATTCTTGGGTTCACCCCTAGGGGTGAACCTATCTTATTCACCCCCTCTAAGCTAACCAATCAAAATTAGCCATGTCATTTAATTAAATAAATTAAAATAATTTTATCTTATTAATTACAAACTTTAAATTCTAACCACTATATTATTAACCTAAACTTAAATATAATTTAGTTTATTTATAAAATCTAAACCCTAAAGTACTAATTTATGAACCCAAACCAAAATATAAACTTGTTTAATTACAAAATCTAAACCCTAACCACTATTTTGTCAACCCAAACCAAAATATAATTTCGTTTCATTACAAAATCTAAACCCTAACCACTATTTTATCAACCCAAACCGAAATATAATTTTGTTTATTTAGAAAATATAAACCCTAACCACTATTTATAAACCCAAACCAAAAAATAAATTCATCTATTTATAAAATCTAAACCCTAACCATTATTTTATAAACCCAAACCAAATAAAATTTCCTAAATAAAAATCCTACAAAATTTGTTTCCTTAATTTGTTTTATTTTATGATTTTAATTTTGATTTATTTTTTAAATAGAAAATGACATGGCACATTATTATATTTTGATTGGTTAGCTTAGAGAGGGTGAATGAGATGGGTTCACTCCTAGGGGTGAACCCAAGAATTTTTCTTTTTAGCACCCAAAGTTACCCACTTAGTAAATAAGGATATCTACATATATAAAGTTAGTTTTTTCTCGTCTCGTGATGCCACCTAAGCATCCAGCTAAACAACTTTTTTATTTTTACAATAAAATAAATTTAAAATATTAATTTAGTGCACATTTATGTTACTTATAATTAATAGAAATTTTATATAGAAATGAATAATATAAAATAAATGAAATTTTAAAATAAATAAAAATATTATAGTTTTTTATTAGTTAATAATATAATTCAACTTTATTTTAAACTGATCATAGGTTAAAATTTTAAATGTCTTATTGAGTTTTAGAATGGAAATTAATTTTAAATTTGTGGTAGAATAAAACAACATTTTTGTAATTTTTATATAAAATTTTAAGCAGGAAAAATAAAATTGAAAGTGAAACATTAGTTTATAAGACCATCCACAATGGGAGAGACCCATTGTGGGTTCTTTGTAAAATTTATAGTATAAATTTTGTAAAATTTGAAATAAAGAGATGATGATGAGGTTTTTAAATATGTAGTCCTCCAATGGTAAGAAGTAAGAACCTTGGGGTTATTTAATTTTTTTCTTTATTATTTTATAAAAAAAACAAAAAAAATCAAATTATTGCATTTTATTACTTTTTAAATAAACATGACTTCAAAAAAATATTACATAGAAACAACTTCCGTGAATTATGAAAGCTTGATTAAATGCTTGGTTAAATGCGTTGTTCATCATATTTTGGAGATTATTACGCGAAGAATAAGAAGACATTTTTTAGTGTTTGGAAACAAAATTTGGAAGAAATTGGAAAATAAAAAAATAAGATATTTAATTAGATTGAGATTTTTTTAAGAAAAATATGAAAGAAGATGAAGTTGAGAAAAGAAAAAGAAGAATTTTTTGTGTTTGAGTATTTTTTTATTATATTTAATACATAAAAAAGAAAAAGAAATATAAATCAACCACTCAGATTTTGCCACGTCAGCGTCTCTTTAAATAACAAAAGCCTCTTTAATAAGAAACGGTTCTCACTAAATTCTCCAATAAATCTTGATCAGAAAGAAAAAACAATTGACATTTCATAAATAGAATCAAATGCTTTTAATCCAAATTTGAGTATTGAAAGACAGTAATTAAAGAGAAACTAGTTATAATCTGTTTTGAAAATCAATATAGTCTAATATATGTTATATGTTGAAAGGACCGACCCGTTTTTTTCTTTTTAAATTCATTAATTAATAGTCTCATACCTACTAATTAATCTAACTGAATTAATCCAGCAATAAACCATCATGCACACCGGAAACATATTAAACCAACACCATTTAATTATAATATTAATTAACCAATTATTCAATAACCACAATTTACACCAGCAACCTACCATGCTTCTAAACCATGTTCCAACAACAATTAACATGTTCATAAACAGAACCACCGAGACCCTAGATCATCCTCCTCTCCTCGCCATAATTCCACGGATCACACTATACCTGCACCACAAACACAATGAGATGCGTGAGTATTATCACAAATACTCAGTGAAGCGATCCTCCCATCTACTGGGCTATACACACAAGCATATTAAACCAACCTAACATGTATCAGATTAACCAAAACAAACAAAACAGGCATAAAAAGACACGAATTTCACGCTGTCCAGAAAAACTGTCCAGAAATTTGGTGTCGAGCGACACCGACCCCGCAGAAACCCTGAAATCGCCTCTCAACTCCCCAGAGAACGAATCCAGCACCTCCAAAACTCCATCTATGATCCCTAACACTCAAACATACAATAACAACAACCAAAACACAGAAACATGGCCACACAAAACAAATCCAGCCATCCAAATCAATCAAACACACATAAGAAGGGTTAAACATGCTTAGATCAGCCATAGTCACGCACTCACCTCTAAAACAAGAAGGAACAGAAATGAAACAGGGACTAGCAAGGGTGAAACAACCTCTTCAGACACCAAACACCACGGATCTAACCTCCTCTAGCCTTGAACCACCAAAAACAAGCTTCAAACTCACCAAACATTCACTCAAAGGCACCAAAGGATCAACTCACACTCTCTGCTCTTTTCTTAGCTTCTAAAAGCGGCTGAAAAGAGAACAAGGACGACCTTTTCTCTATTAAAGTGTCACTTAGGGTTAATCCCAAACCAACCCCAAGCAAACTGCAATTAAAATCGAACCCATCCAAACCGAAAATTGTTGGTGTCGAGCGACAACCTCCCTTGGTGTCGATCGACACCACCTATTTTCGAACACGGGCGTTACATATGTGAGCCAATAGAAAGTGAAAATAAAGTATATATCGAAAGGCAATGAGTGCATAGTAGATAATGACGAAAGAATTGTAGTCAAACATGTTTAATATAAATTACTAAAACTTGAAAAGATAATAATGCACATGACTAATTAAATTTTTTAAAATTTTGTTCATTCATTCATCCTCACAGTTTTTAATTTCCTAACTTTGATACTTGCAAGTTGCAAATATCAACCTAAACTTAGTAAAAAATTCAAATAGTCAACCTCAATTATATGAAAATGAACCGATTTCAACATCTCTCGAAAGAATGACCATTTTACAGCGATGAATCAAATGATAGTGTGGCAATGACTAGGCATCAGGGGTGTGTAAAAAAACGTTGTTTTGTGAATATTTGATTTTGTTCATATGCACACAACAAAACGACGTCTTTTTCTAAAAGACTATTATTAAGAAGAAAATAGTTATGATATGTCTTGAAAATCAATTCACATACCAATATATCTATTATATGATAGTCAATACAGGTGCAAAGAATTATATCTATAACTGTCTATAATGTTGCTTTTATACAAGATGAACTGATTAAATGCATACACACGGTGAACTATTTAATTTGATAATTTATAACAGTTTTTGAGGGTTACAAGAATTCAAAGCTTCTAAAATATAAGGTTGTACCACGTACTATCTAGCCTAATTTATTGTTAAACAAATAACAATAAACATTTCAAATACTAAACTAATATAAAATTTAAAAACAACCAATATGAAAAATAGAATAAAAAAATGACAGCAATAAAAAAACCAACATAACAAACGTTGCAAGAAAATAAAAACAAAGAAAATCAACATATAAAAAAAAAAAATTCGACTACTATATATATAGTAGGGAATTTTTGAGTAATGCCCCTTTTGGTCTACCCCTTTTTAAAAATACCCCTCTTTTCTATCCATTTTCAAAAATACCCCTTTCCAAATATGAAAAATTATAAACTTTTATATGGTTGATAAGGTACAGCAATATCATCATTACTGCTGCGTGACTAAATCCCAATATTTATAAGGTTTTAAAAGGTTCTAAACGGCATTTATAAGGTTTTTATAAGGTTTTTAAAAGGTTTATAAGGTTTTTACGAGGTTTTTATAAGGTTTTTAAATGACTTTTAAAAGGTATTTATACGGTATTTATGAAATCTCTATATTAATAAAACAGAAGTACAAAAATGAAATGGATCGGGTTAATTGAAAAAATTACTCAAAATTACCCGATTCGGAATACATGGATACTTAGATTATTGGATTTTAATTTGGGTATGGATATAACCCATTAATAAATAATTTCGAAAATATCTAAAATAAATATTTCAGTATTTTAGGAAACTTATTAAATAGAAATGATACATTTCTATATTTTATGAAACTATATATTAATTATAAATAAGCAACTCCTATATTTTAGGAAACTATATAAATGACTAAGTACAAAAGATCTCAATCTTTAACAAATATTCCAAATATTAAATATAGAAATTTATACATTTAAAAAAATAGAAACACGATTAGTCAATTACCAATTAAAACACATTATTAATTCTAATTTAATATGATAACTTAAATTGATCATAATTATTTGGAATTAATTAAATAGTTTTTAAGAGATGAAAAAAAAATTCAAATATATAGAGCTATACAAAAACAAGAATACTATAAATCTATAAAATATTTTCATTACTTTTGTCATTTTTCCTAATACGTAAAATGAAAATGAAAAAAATGGAAAGATATTCTGATATTTTCTCATATTTTTCCATAATTAATGAAAAATTACAAAGATCCACGTATATCTAAAAATAATTATTCTAAAATTTGGGAACAAACAATAAATATATAGTTTGACAACCATATATAAAAATATTGTTTGACAACCATATATAAATATAAAATAAATAACTAAAATTTAACGATAATTATTATAATTAATTATGAAATAATTTAGTAAATTAAAATTCTAAGATGATTATTATAATTAATCACAAAATACTTTAATAAAAAGAAATATTTTACTTTTTATTTTTAATTTTTATTAGGGAATATTTTTGAAAATTTTCTTACAAAATTAAAAGATATAGTTTCTTTTTGCTATATAATTATCTTTGTATTTATTAATCATTCTAATCAGTGTTAATACAAAATCAGTTTAACATGGTTCATTACAATACAACAATATTGAAATCATATATGTTTTTGATATCAAAATATATTTTTCGAGTTTAGACTAAAAAACTATTTCATAACTTATTAACTATTATTTTTTGCCAAACAATGATAATAAAATGGAATTAAACATCCTAAACATTAAAAAAGTCCATAATACTAATTAATCAATTTTCTTATTCGGAAATTCAGTAAAATATAAAGTCATTTTACATATATTAGGTCTTTTAATTGAAACTCACTTCTAAAATATAAATATTATTTCCAAAAATAACACACTATAATGAATTAAAAATGTAATATATTATAATTTATAAATCAATATTACGATTGTTATCATAGGAAAATTTAAATTTGTTCCCGTAACTTCTATTTTTATAGGGATTACAATTTCTCAATTTTTAATTATTTTCATTTTTATGTCATGATTCAATTATATTTATTTAATTATATTTCAATTTTCAATTTTTACTCATTTTTATGATTCTTTTAAAAATACACGGATCTTTGCGGGTTGGTTCGTCACAACATACATTGTGAGTATGTCATTTGTTTAATGCACATTCTTTTATTTTTATTTAAATATTATATTTCATTTCCCGAATAGTTACTTTATCTAAAGAATTGAAACCAAATATATATTTCAAAATAATAATTGTTAATACTAAAATAAACGAAATAATAACATAAAACATGTAAAAAATAAAACAAACCGAAAATATTCCCCCGCGCTGTAGCGCGGGTCCGAATCTAGTATATATGTAAATTTACACACATATAAAGATAATTTGTGTCTTTGAATATAAGCTTACACATAGTTTTTTGATAAATTTCAAAATTTATAGTGATTTTTTGATAAAATTAGAAAGAGGGGTATTTTTAAAAAGTGGTATTGGAAAAGGGGTATTTTTGAAATTCCCCCTATATTTGAATAGATTATTTAGGTTTTTATTTTTTTCTAAAATAGATGATTTTCTCACAAATCTATGAAAAATTAAATATTTTTTTATTTTAGTGAGATAAATTAATGCATGTAATAAATACATATAGCAATAATATTTTTGCTAAAAAGCCTTGCAAAAACACTATAGTAGATTTGATTACATTAATTTTACAAAGATTTGCTTCAAACTGATATAAGTTTATGCAAAAAAAACAAACGTGATCCAAAAAGGCAAAAACAAATATAAAATTTTGTTTTCTTTATCAATTCTAGATACAGAAGATTTGTACCGATGTTTAGGAATTAAATCACTTGAATACTTTAAATAATAACTAATGACAGTACATATATACTTAACTTTTATAAGATATATGATGAAAAATATATGTAAGATGTTTTTATTTCAAGATTACATTCTATATATTTGACTATAAAATTAAAATAATATTGTGTATTTGAATAATAAACAAATCAAGAGAGAATAATCATAAGAATGTTTTAAGAATATTATTTTATTGAAATATTAGCGTTTCTAATTTAAGCTTGTATGTATATATATATATGAATTAAGCTTTGTATCAATACAACTACTCAAATAAATAACTGAAAAAAATCAATACAAAATCCATTTGGCATATCCAAAACCATGAAATCATCACATACGTTTCTCATTTGCGTACTCATGCTCTCTCTCTTTGCACTATATGAATGTATATAACTATAAAACTATTTTGTCTCTTTAATTAAAACTATTTTGTCTTCATGAATATTAATTAGCTTAATGTCTGTATGAACTTACAAATCAATGTGTAGGTACGAGGATGGATGTTAGGTCGAACAAAGTCTGGCTACCATGTGTCCATAGAGATTGCAAGCTTGTTCCTGGTGGAAGCTGCTATTGCTGCCTATCACTATCAGCAAGAACAAAACTAAATTGTTGGGCAGACCAACACTATTGTAACACACATTGTCCTCCTTTCCTTTAACAAACATAATCCTCCATTGTACAACTTCTTATTCTATTACCATTTGCTTTAATCAAAATAAGAACATTATTTAATGTGATATATATTGATTGCATTTTTTTTATGCTACAAACTATATTAGCCAGCTAAAACAATTAAATAACAAACTTCTGAAATATGAAGCGATTATATATACATATGCTAAAACTAAAATGGATCCTATCAAAATAATAATAAAATATTAATAATAAATCAATAAATATAATTATGAAATTAATAAAATCATGATTTTTGATTAACTGGAATATGAAAAAGATTAAAGATTTTTTTTGTTACAAAATATGTATTTGTAATTGTAAATAAAACAAATATCTTTATAATATTGAAAGAAAAGTACATTTTAGAACATTGCAAATTTATGATTCCAATTCTACAAGAGACTTTTTGAGAAATACCCCTTTCGGTGTACCCATTTAAAAAAATACATATTTATCTATCCATTTTCAAAAATACCTCTGTTTAAATAGAAAAAAACTGTAAAGTTTTATATAGTTTATAAGGTACTTCTATATAATAATTACTACTGGGAGATTTGATACACATATTTTAAAATGTTTTAAATGGGTTTAAATCGTTTTATAAGATTTATCAGCTTTTTAAAAGGTTTTCATAAGTTATTTTTATGCTATTTATGAAAGATATATAAAGATTTATACACATACAAAAGTAATTTGTGTGTATATTTATAAGCTTACACACATATTTGAATAATTTTCAATATATATATACGAAGCGAAGCAGATATTCGACATTAAAAAAATCAATATTTGTTATTTGCTTCGGTTTTACGAATACTACATTTTCATATTTGCTTCGCTTCAATATTTTATAGATATTTGAATTTTTCGAATCGACATGGTGAAACAAACTAATGAGACTATTTGCATATAACCATAGGTCCACAACCAGGATACTAGTGTTTCTCTTATATGGTTTACCATGCTACAAATATGATTGAACAACTTGGTTCTTCCGGCGGAACTATCTTCCGACCATACGAGAATTTGGCTCAAGAATCTCAAGACCGACACAAATGCTGGAGACAAAACTGATCCTCTTTGCCTTATATACGACTCGCTGCTTTTGAGAAGGTTTTCAAGATTTCAAACATTTTTTCTTCATGTAGTAATTTTGGAGTAACTTTGAGTTTTGAATGTGTTCTTAATCACAGATTGTTTCGCGGTTGGGATCTTTAGTATTCGTATGGGCCATGGTTGTTATTCTTGGTGGATACGCTGCATGTGTAGAGACTATAGACTTTTGGTTCGTCAATGTGATTCTTGTGGTTGAAGGAGCTCAAATTTTCAGCGGAAGCCACCATGCGGTTCTTATGTTGCCTTACACAGGATGTGTATCCAGATTGCTTCTGCTTTCACCAGCATTGTTATATCTTTGATCAAAGTACTCATCAAGCAAGACTATGGAGGCAGCGGCTTGACACCCAAAACTCAAAAGCATTAATCTTCACTATGCTTTGGATATGATGGTTTTCGCCTGGAGCTTTTGGTGTCAAATACCCCTGATGAGCAGCTCACTGGAGTACAGATTATTTGTATATTGTCAGCCAATCAAGACTATCATTAGGTCGAAGTTTCTCGTCAAGTTGATTGAAAACAATGCTTTGTTATATTTTCAAATTTCATTGGCTATAAGTTAAATAAGATTTAATTGAACAAGAAAAAAACTACATGAGCTAATAATACATGATATTTTGGTGAACAAAGAGACCACGTATAATCCTAATTCTAACAGAATAACACACATGTAGATTACATCAGCCATGGCTTTGAAATTTCAGGTGTCATTGACTAGCTTTGGCCTGGATGTTTTAGGATCAATTTCAACTCTGAGACCAATTTCACGGAGTTGAGGCACATCCACTGATCCTTGAATCTCCAAATCAGCAACCACTTCCTGGTTGTCCGGGTTCCCTTCCAGCAGATTTCTCACACACCACAAGCCCCATTTCAAAGTATAAAAGAACTTGAATATAAGAACACCTCTCTTATTATTAGACTTAGAAAACTTCTCAAAAACTAAATCTCTTTCTCAAGCTCTATGAAACATCTCTTCATAGGCCCTTGTATTTATATAGAAACAAGACAACTCCTTGTTCTATTTGGATTAGGATAACAACACACAAAGCCTTATCTAAATAAGCTACCCCTTATCTAAATCTTGTTTGTGATCTCCTTAACTTGTTCCTCAAGTTACTGGAATTATCCAACATTCACCCCCTTAATTCCAACTTGAACTCCGGGGGACTTGATCGCTTGAACTCCGATTAGTTCTCTCATTTCCTTGAACTTCACTCTTGCTAACGGTTTAGTAAGGATATCTGCCTTCTGCTCCTCACCGGGTCCATCTGCCTGTTTTACCTCATCATCCTTTTTTACTCCAACATCTTCTTCCACATCCTTGACAATACTCTCACTCTCCCTTTCCGGATTCTCATCCACCACTACTCCATCTGTGGAAGCTTGTTTGTCTCCAACATCAACACTCCCATTTTCAATCTTACTCTCAACATCGTCTTTAATATCTTGCACGCCCTCAAGAACCTTCTTTTCCTCCTCCGCAACCCCTACACCTTCAGAAACATCCTCTGGCTTCGGAGGCAACGATTTAACATCATCTTCCCCAATTGTTTCACCAGAAACAACCACGGGCTTCGGAGCAGCCTCAGTGGTAGCAGAATCCTCCTTTAAGGAATCACCCTCGCCGCCACCCTTCAAATTCGGCTTCTCCTTCTCCGCTTCAAATACATCATCAGCTCCACCCTTATCCGAATTACCAGACAGAGCCTCCGGAGAAGAATCCAACTCCTTCACACTACTCACACCACCGCCATCCTCCTTACTGGCGGCTGCAGCAGCAGCGGCGGCGACAACGGAAGCATAGGTCTTTCCTGATTGCCCCGAAGCGTAGAAGGGGTTCGCTGGTTCCGGAGTTACTGACTTAGAGTCCATATCCGCTTTGCTACTGAGGATTTATCAAAGACTTATCTCCACAAAACTTGTGGAGGAAGGAGATAGCGATGGGATAGGATTAAAGGGTTTAAGGGAATTTACCCTTTTTATTGTGTTCGTGTGGCGAGTTTTATGATTGAGAATTTTGCAGCTCTTGTGACTTGTACAAGAAGCCTTCCAACTGGATCTTTTAGTGTCAAAATATCTTTTATTGGAATACAAACCAATATCCCACATCGGAAGATTAGAAAGAGAAGTTTCTAATATATAAGTTAAGTCCAACTCTAATTAGTATGAGGCCTTTTGGGAAGGAGCCCAATAATTCCGTGCGGGCTTGAGTGATAAGCCCAAAGCGGACAATATCATACTAATGAAAAGTTGGCTTGGTTATAGAGATTCCAACAATTGGTGACAAAATATCACCTTTCATGTTTACTTCACACCCAGAGGAATGGATATTGGTTTGAGGGGGAGTATTGGAATACAAACCAATATCCCACATCGGAAGATTAGAAAGAGAAGTTTCTAATATATAAGTTAAGTCCAACTCTAATTAGTATGAGGCCTTTTGGGAAGGAGCCCAATAAATCCGTGCGGGCTTGAGTGATAAGCCCAAAGCGGACAATATCATACTAATGAAAAGTTGGCTTGGTTATAGAGATTCCAACAATTGGTGACAAAATATCACCTTTCATGTTTACTTCACACCCATTCTCGGTTGCTTGTCCAAGACTTATGATATTATGCATGAGGTCGGGTATGTAGTAAATCTCCTTGAGTGATCTCCTCTCACCCGTTTTACCTACAAAAATTATAGAACCTTTCCCCACAATGTTAACAAACGAACCATCACCAAACTTGACTCTCCCCGTGATGGTTTCATCAATGCTCGTGAAGAACTCCTTGTTGCCCGTCATGTGATTGCTCGCACCATTGTCTAGATACCAAATACTTTTGTTGTTGGTATCAGACAATTTTGGGAACACTCTTTCTTCATTCAAGAACACCACCTCGTGAACATAAAGAGCATCATCCTCATGTGTCTCGTTTAAGTTCGTCCCTTGGTGTTGTATTGGTTTGTCGGGACATGATGATGCGTAGTGACCCGGCTTGTCACAACGCCAACATATGACTTTGGTCATGTCTTTCTTCGGTTTTTGGTTTTGATCTGTGGCTTCTTCTCCACGTTTCTGTCCATTAGACCGTCCTCGGCCTCGACCTCTACCACCACGACCAGAGCCACCTCGGTTAGACCCTCCACGGCCATAACCTCCTCTGTTTCCTCCTTGATTACTACCATGTCCTCCACGGTTACTTGAATTAGAAAACATGAGTTTTCCTTGGTCTTCACTTTGGGTCTCTTCCTTAACACGTTCTTCAAATGCCTTTATCCTCCCAACTATGTCTTCAAACCCGGTTGTTTCTAGGTCAAGAACTTGTTCAAGGGAAGCTACTATATGAATGAACTTGCTCCTTGGAAGTGCCGTTAAAAACTTTGTCACCAGTTTTGCTTCTTCTATAGTCTCTCCAAGTGCTGCGGATTGAGCTGCAAAACCCGATATCTTTCCCACAAAATCATCAACCGAGTCGGTTTCGCTCATCTTCAATCTATCTAGTTCCGCCTTGATCGTTTGTAGTCTCGCTGCCTTCACACGATCAGCACCTTGGTGGCGAGACTTGATTGCATCCCATATGCCTTTCGCTGAGTTTTGCTCTCCAACTTGCAAAATCAAAGCCTCGGGAATGGACTGGAACAAGAGCGCCGTCGCAACATCGTTCTTCTTCACGTCGGTGGATCCCGGTTCTATTGTCTCCCACACTTCGCTTACTCGAAGGGTGACCTTCATCCTCATCGCCCAAACCGTATAGTTTGTCGATGTCAACATAGGACAATGAATCGATGGAGATCCAAGGTCCTTTGTTCTTGGTGGAGGATTCTGCTCATCCGCCATCTTCTTCGCACACTATTCTTTTATCAAAAGCTTTTAACCTAAGCTCTGCTACCAATTCAAAGTATAAAAGAACTTGAATATAAGAACACCTCTCTTATTATTAGACTTAGAAAACTTCTCAAAAACTAAATCTCTTTCTCAAGCTCTATGAAACATCTCTTCATAGGCCCTTGTATTTATATAGAAACAAGACAACTCCTTGTTCTATTTGGATTAGGATAACAACACACAAAGCCTTATCTGAATAAGCTACCCCTTATCTAAATCTTGTTTGTGATCTCCTTAACTTGTTCCTCAAGTTACTGGAATTATCCAACACCATTCTCTCAAAAAAGGGTTCTCATCATCGGTCACACACTGTTGCAACAATAGAAAGAGCCCATCTCTCTCCCTGATCTCATCTTGTACCTCTTTCCTTCTGTACGCACAGTTCCCAATCACAGACACAATATCTCTCCTGAATCCTCTGTATGGACAGGGTTTTAATGAAGAAGAAGAAGTAGTAGGACTCTGGTTTAGAGCCCTCTTAATTGTTGTTGGAGGATCAAGTTTGCGAAGAAGATCAAGGAGGAGATGTATTAGTCCAGAGGACAAGAGCAATTCAACAGTATCAACTGAATCATTGTTGTCTTTCTTGAGCTCTTCAAGGCTTCCTCCAGCGCAAGCATCCCTTATTGTTACGAGAGAGTAACCCATTACGTCTACTATAGTTGAACCCGTAGGAAGCTCGGATCTTTGGCTAGAAGCAAAATCAAAAACGGCAACAGATTGCTTGAATACTCCCAGAATGAAAGAAGTTGTATCCTTGGGGATTGACACTTTTCCTATCCGCTCATTTGCAATATCAGACACCATCCTCAGAAGAAAGGCTTGCTCTGATGTAAAGAACGTCTCATGTTCGTCATCCTTGTGACCAAGAACCAAATCAACTTTGCATAACTTGGAGAAGAGCTGAGGGAAACAATGGTCTTCAACACACATTCTTGATACCATTAACTTGAGCCAATAATCCTCCACAGACCCAACTACAACAAATAACAAAGAATTTGGTTTTTTTTTTTTGAATCAGACAACATCAACAAGATTTGGGTTTTCAAAATGATAAAACGTAATTTACGAGAAGATGAAGTCCGTATAGCCTCAGCGACGATGCTGAGCCCATCACTGCTGCAAACCTCTGAAGCAAGCTCCGAGCTTCCATCAAAGCAAGCATACAAAATCATACACAGAGGATCACAGGTTTCAAACCGCCTAATCTTAGCGATTGAGAAGAACCTCTTCGGGAAAAATCGCATCCACACATCTCTCTGACGTTTCTTGCCGAACAATACAACGTTCGCTAGAGCCTGCAACCCGAACCGAACAGTCTCAAAATCTGCGGTTTTCTCTGCAATCGCGGAATCAAGCAAGTCTGAGACGATAGCTGAACCGTCATGGTCGACGAAAGAGTTTTGATTCGAAACGCAGAGGTTTCGGAGGACTTTCAGAGAGAGATTGAGATAGTTGCGGGAAGATGGGTAAGGAAGAATCTGAAGAAGACGAAAGATATAAGGAAGGATAGCCTTGGAAGCGAGATCAGAGCGGCCTGAATCGGTCTTGGAAGACTCTTGAAGAAACTTCAAGCAATCTTCTAGAGAGTATGATAAATCCGAAGCATGGAGCAGCGGCTGAAGCACCTCTTCCGGTACAGAAGCTTCCATTGATGACGTAAGAGAAGAAGCTCATGTACAAGACTTCTTAAAATGGGAGTTCCCGCACACACGGCTACATTCACACAAAAATAAACATAATACAAACTCAGTATCTTAAAATGCCACAACAACAAACATAATACAACCAGCACATCAACAAACAAAACTACCATGCAAGAAACTTGAAATCATGATGAAGACGAATTGAATAATAAGAATCCACATCAACAGCTTACAATTGAACCCTAAAACAAAACTAGAAACAAGATTACAAAAAGCCAATTCACTCCCAATTATAAAAGAAAGCAAACAAGAGATGCAAACAGTTTCATCATCACTACAAATCTGAAACAAGAACTCCCAAAACATGATTAGAATCTGAAACATGTAACATGTTCTCTACTAGAGTAGTAGAGAAAGCCTTAGATCAGAGAATACAAATACAGAAACAGCATTACACATAACTCATTCCAATTTCAGAAACCATATTGAGGAAATTGTAAAGAAATGGTATGTGAGGTGAAATGCATCAAGGTTAGATTCATTGCAGGAGGATCAGCCTCATCTTATATAGTTCAGCAAAACAAAGAGATGGGAAATAAATTAATCAAGAAGTTCTGCTTATAACAAGGCTTACCAGTTCTTAAGTACCAAAACCAAACATTAAATTAATTAATTAAACCAAACATCAGAAAGAAATATAAAACTACAACAAGAAAAGGGTTTTAAAAGAACTAACCAGAGGAGAAAAGGGTTGCCTCAGATCTCTTTGGTTGCTTTATAACAATCGATGCACTGTCCTGTTACAAACCAAAACATCAAAATCAAGAGTCTTTAACTGATATTAAACCCTAAACGAAACTTAAAAGACAAGAGTGACTGAAGAAACTAATTAGAATCTGCAAAAAAGCTGCAAAAACGCAACAGACAAACACCAATTGAGATCACATAACATGCTTAACAAATTAAAGCTGCAAAAAAGCTTAATCAACTAGAGTGAATCAACTAGAGTGACTTAAGAAACTAAGAAGAAGAACCAGAAGTTACAAACGAAATGAGTTTGGTAGACTAAGTACACATACCAGACAACAATACCTTCAAAGAACAACACATTCATGAGTTAGTTGACTAACTACGTACACAAACCAGAAAACACATAAAACACTAACTCATTGGCTTTTTATAATGAATCTCATTGTCTTTGTGTCATTGGTGATGATTGCCTAGGGTACCTGACGTCCAAAGTTGAAAAAATGTGTTTGGACATTTCGCTTTTCTTAGGCATAAATTGAAATCAGGCTTTGCGACATTGTTAGCTTCTTTTCACATAAGCTACCTGTTACTTTTAAAACACTAACTCTAAATCAAAAGTCTTTAACAAGTGTGAACAACTAGAGATTGCATTGTAATGGAGATACATTGAAAATCAAATCAAAACAAAAAACAGTGGAATTATAAATTCAGAGCCAAACCAAAGAGGGTCACATAGAAGATAAGATACAAAAGGACACCTATCTTTCAGATCATCATCAGTATAAAGCAAAGACGCCATAGAAGCTACTCTACTACAAAAGGGTTTAAACGATTTTTTCAAATAAGCTAAAACTAGAGGCATGAAGATGACACAATGAAGCAAAAAGCTGTTAACTTTAAAGAGTTTCCATGAAGAGAATCACTGAAAGCCATAAACCAGAAGCATGTGACTGATTCAAATCCAAAATCCCAACCAATACACAAAGAGTTCAGGATTCAAAAAGCCAGAAATATTACTTTTGGTCTGAAAGTGTTTATAAGTAGATTTATCTCAGAGCAATACATATCAGCCATTGCCAATTAACTAGACAACTAAAGCTGTTAACTTTGATTCACTAAAGGAACTTGATTCAAAGATTTCTAAAAGCTATAGCCATTTTTTGCCAAGTAAATCCTTAATGATACACACAAATCTTATTCTAACACACTGAAACGTAACATTATCTAAACTTTGGTTTCTCCAATCGATTTGAGTCATAAATTTCCGAGAAGCAAAACGGATTCGGGAAAATTTTACCAAATCTTTCTCTCAGTTGTTTCTGGTGCGATCATTGAGAAGAATGAGCCATGAAAAAAACGATAAACTTACTCGGAACAAAATCTCTCATGCCCTTTAACTAAAATATATATACTTTTATACCCTCCTATGTTCTAACTACCTTTGAACCATATGTTGACTTAAATAATGACATATTTTATCCTTCTTACTATTTGAATTAATTTAAACAAAAAAAGAAAAAGAAAAAGGGGCATGGACCCCACTCGAAATCTTCATCTTCTCTCTCCTTCAAACCCGATCTCCACCGGAATCCCAATCCTCCTCCTCCATAGCTAAATCGATGAGCGCCTCCTCCATTAAACTCCATCATCTCTCTCATCAACACGAGAAGCAACCCAACAACTGAGGTAATACACTTATTCATACCCATTGTTAAACTCATAACTTGTTGGCATGAAATAGAGTTGTTGTGGATTGTATTTTGTTCATCCCTATTGAACTATTAACATTGTAGATTTGGATTTGATCCGATTTTTCTTATCCTCATTGTTAAATAGAGATATGAGTCGAATTGGGTCAACTATTTTTCATAATGTGTGCATTGTAACAGTTCAATCGAATTGAATCGTAGGAATGTATTCGAAAATTAGTAGTGATATACGTTGTAGTACAACTGGTAGAACTTGGTATAAATATTCGGGCACAACATGAGATAACTATAATGGTAAAACTAGTATTACAAATGGTACTATTTGGTATAACTTGGTATAACTATGAACACGACATAGATTATAATGTTAGTTTTCCTATTCTATTTCATGGCACAATGAGTAAAAACCATCGAAAAATCATAATATATGATTATGGGGGATATTATGCAACAAGAGAAAATGAACCAAGATGGAACTCAAAAGCTAAAGTTCATCAATCTCTTAGAATGGAGACAGAGGAGGTCACTTATTCTGCAGTGGTGAACAAGATATGTCGGAAATCAACAGGAGAACATGGACGCAGGAAGAAGAAATCTACCATCGCGAGCTGATTTGAGAGTCAGGGTTTTCCGAAGTTGATTGATTGTATTTTGATGTAATATCCTATTTGAACAATTAGGTGCAAACTTGTTTTTGTTATGGTACAACTTGAATAAATTTGAATTTGATTTTCGGACTTTCTTAAGTCAACTTGTTTTAATGATATTTAAATAGATATATATTTTTAAATAAAAATCTATATTCTTATATTTAAAAAATATTTAAATAATCAAAATAAGGATTTATTTTAATTAATCAAATAATCAGGATTTATTTGAATTTTTAATAAACATGAATTGAAATTAAATATAGAAAACTTAATAAATATAAATATGAACTGAATTATAATTTCATCATGTTATCCAATATATATATAAAATAAGGAATCATGATTTTTATTATTATATTTCACTATAGATATCATCATATTCTAAGTTTGTCAAGAAATACCTTACACATTAAGGGTCACTTTCTCATTGCAAACAACATATAATTAGAAAAGCTAAGAAACAAATGTTTTCAAAAATATTTATGCTTGTACATGTGGTATATGTACCTTAATTAATTAAAATCATGTGTACAACTAAAAATATTTCTTTTAAACATTGTATAACTAATTAGAACAAAAAAAATGAAAAAGTACAACTTGCCAAAACGAGTACAACTTGTAACTTTGGTACAACTAGTGCATTTTCGCGGCTACACATGTGTCTTTTGGCGGCTACACGTGTTTGTTGTTTGGTACTTTTATTTTTTATTTTTATTTTTCCTACACTTAAGAATTTTTAAAAAATTCAATTTCAAATTGAAATTGAAAGAGGGAATCGGGAATCGGGTGTAACTAGGGTTTACTGTCCTTTTACTCTCTTCACTTCTTCTCCTTCTTTCTTTCTAGGTTGGTGCAATTTCGTCTTTTATAACTTATTCTTCGTAGTACAACTAAGTATAACTTGTTCTTCGTAGTACAACTAAGTATAACTTGTTCTTCGTAGTACAACTAAGTATAACTTGTTCTTCGTAGTTGTACAACTAAGTATAAAACTAGCTGGTTGATTTCCTTGGTTTGATTGTAACTTTTCCCTTTCCTTATTGGCTTAGCTTTGTTGGTAACTTAGAACTTACTTTGTGTATTTGGGTTGTAATTTTTGGTTGTAAAACTAGTATTTTGTAATGGTACAACTACTATGTAGTTTTACCAAGTTGATCTTTTAAATGCAGTTGAATAATGGGAACTTAGAAACTTAACAAACAACATATAACTTACTAGAATAGTTCAAAACACATCCAAAAACACATCAATCCATAAACCAATACAAAGAGTTCACATATAAAATGACTCAAAAACCCAACATTAAACAAACCAATCTCAAGAGTTCACAACTTAACCAGAATAGATCATCAATTATCCTTCTCATGGGACTTAAGGTGTCCTAGGAACCAGTCCAACTCATGGGACTTAAGGTGAGCTCTCAAGAAGTTCACTGTCCTTGTGATATAACACTTAGCAGATAGCTTGAATGGCTTCATGTACCCGGACAGATTGAAGTACATGTTCAGCGGTTGCATTACTTCTGTTCCCTCCTCGAACTCCTGCAAAACAACATAGTTATACTAAGTTTTCCCAAGTTGTACCTTTTGAATTTCGAATTGAAATAAACTAGTTATACCAAGTTCTCCTAAGTTGTACCTTTTCAATTTCTTAGTAAAAAAACGAGTTCACACAAGTTGTACCATTATATCCAAATTGTACATACCGTTGAATCCCCAGAATCTAATTTCGGATTTGACTTTGTTTTTTCTGAATCATCTCGACGAGTCTCATCTTCTTCTACGATTGCATCTGTTGGCTATTCGGCTTCACCTACTGGATATGTTTCTTTGTTAAAGCTTGCGTTCTTTGTATGCACCATTCTTCTCTTCTCCTTGACACAAAACCAACAATCGCAAATTACAACATACTCGAGTAATAAACGAAATCAACACCTAAATCGACAAAACCTAAATCGAGAACACCTAAATCGATAACATTCAAGTGGATCTAACATAAAATACCCAAATAATTGAAGGTTTTGACTTATCCTATCTCGGGTTGTCCTTAGTTATACTCGAACTGCTTGTGATTTTCAGATTTTTCAAAACACTTAGAGTTTGGGGGATTTTTGATTTTTGAAACGATGAAGAGGAAGACAAAGAGGTAAAGGATCCGATGGATATCCGATAGTGATATGGGTTTTCGGATATAGGGTGGTTGGATCTGTAATTGTTTTATTTTAGTGAGGATAAGTTTGTATTTTAACCAATTTTCGATTTTTTTAATTATCTTTTTTTCCCCTTTGGTTAAACCCTTAGGAGAATAGAGATTTTAGTCAAAGGGCACCATATATTTTAGTCCAACTTACTCAGCTGATGGAGAACTAAAATCTGTTGTGCCCTTTGACCATAATTTATATACTTGCCTACCCTTGTATATTCTAAGTACCCCTTGACTTATATTGACTAAATAAAGGACAAATTTTCCCCTCCTTATTGATTGATTTAATTAAATAAAAAAGGAAAAATGAAATGGACGCGGACCCCACTCCACCACCATCTTCTCTCTTCTTCATCTTCAACCACGATCTCTTCTTCATCTTCAACCACGATCGAGCTCCTCTTCCGTTTAACTCCATCGTCTCTCTCATCAACACGAGAAGCAACCCAACAACAGAGGTAATACACTTATTCGTATCCATTGTTAAATTCAAAACTCGTTGGCATGAAAAATCATAATGTTGTGGATTGTATTTGTTCCCTATTGAACTATTAACATTGTAGATTTGGATTTGATCCGATTTTTCTTATCCTCATTGTCAATTAGGGATATGAGTCGAATTGGGTGGACTATTTCTCAGAATGTGTGCATTGTAACAGTTCAATTGAATTGAATCGTAGGAATGTATTCTGAATTTAGTAGTGCGTTGTAGCACAACTGGTAGAACTTGGTATAACTATTCGGGCACAACTTGGTATAACTATAATGGTAAAACTTGTAGTACAAATGGTACTCTTTGGTATAACTTGGTATAATTATGAACACGACAGAGATTATAATGTTAGTTATCCTATTCTATTTC